AAGGATTCATGAACACCAGTTGGCCGCCATGAGACACGACCAATTCTCACTGGTCTCAATTCACACTTTATTCTTTATTCATTCATGGGATGTTGGCGACGCTGACTAGACCAGCATTTATTGCCCATCCCTAATTGCCCAGAGAGCAGTTAAGAGTCAACCATACTGCTGTCACACGTAGGCCAGACCAGGTAAGGATGGCAGTTTCCTTCCCTAAAGGACATTAGTGAACCAGATGGGTTTTTCCGACAATCGGCAATGGATTCATGGTCATCATTAGACTCTTAGCTCCAGATTTTTATTGAATTCAAATTTCACCATCTGCCATGGTGGGATTTGAACCCAGATTCCCAGAACATTAACTGGGTCTCTGGATTAACAGTCCAGTAATAATACCCCTAGGCCATTGCCTCCCACGGACAAAGAAGGACACCACATCCACAATAGCACAAGCCAAACAGAGACATGCCAGGGAATTCCTGGAGGCCTGGCACTCCAACCAGAACTCCATCAAACGCACTGAACTGGACCCGATATACAAACCAGTGAAAAACAGAACCGGCAGTGATACCAACTACCCCAGCAAACAGAAGCATATAAATAATAAGTGGGACAGAACACCAACACTTCACCGGAGGCACACTGACAATGTTACCTAGCAGAGTGATGAAATGTCTGCAATCAAACACGTCAGCTCGGCAAGCAAGTCTACAACCTCATCCACAACCAGAGCTACAAATCTTCTCAAAAACTTTAAGCAGTCACCCACTTCGGACAGAGATGAGGAGGAACATTTTTCTCTTAGAGGGTAATGAGTCTGTGGAACCTTTACTGCAGAGAGCTGGAGTGGTTGAGTTGTTAGGCATATTCAAAATTGAGATAGGCAGGCATTTTAAATCAGTAAGGAAGTCAAGAGTTATGGAGAAAAAGCAGGAAAGTGGATTTCAGCATATCAGTAAATGGTGGAGCAGGCTTGATAGGCCTGATAGTCCTTCACCTGATGTGCCTTATATTATCAAATACTTAAACAACTGTATATGATGAAAAGCACACGTAACATATCATAGTCAAGAAATACTGACACTTAGTGGTTCTGAAATAACAGAGTTATTCATGACATTCAAGATCAAACTAGAACATCAATAAATTCATCTCATCGCCCAACAACTCTGTTGCATTTTAAATATGAAATATACTAGAAAACCAATTGCAGTTAGATACATTGATTCAAATTTCACAATAATGTACTGATCTGAATAAAATTTACACAACTATAGAATCAGCTCTTTACCATCCAATGGTACGTGCTAATTTCTGAGATGCTGCTCAGTGAAATAATTACAGGTTTAATGAAAATGTTGATCTTACTCAGAGTGACACTGTTCATATCTCTGCTAACTGGAGCAAGGCAGTGTCATTGCTTGAAGAGATTAATCTGATGTTTTTGCAGTTATTCAATACTAGATCATAAAACACATGAGCATGAAAAAGACAGCTGAATCACTTCGAATTGATCCAACAATTAGCAGGAGAGAGACAGGACACACACACGTCCACTGCCAGTGGGCACTGTAATCATTTTAAAACAAAACTCTGAATTTGACATTTATTGTTAAAGTGACAGAGGATAAAAGTACGGAAGCATTGCTGCAACTGCACAAGCATTAAAATGAAACTATACCTGGAGTTTAGCGTACAATTTCAGTTACCTTACTTGAGGAGAGATGTAGTTGTACTGGAAGCAATTCACAGGAGATATGCTAAATTGACTCCAGAGATGAGGGTCTTGTTTCATGAAGAGATATTGAGCAGTTTAGGCCTATATTCTCTGGAGTTTAGAAGAATGAGGGGAGATCTAATTGAGGTATATCGAGGTATACAAGATGCTAAAGAGGATTGACAAAGTAGATGTAGAGAGTATGTATCCTTACATGAGGCAATTTAGAATGAGAGATCATAGTTTTAGGATAACGGGTATCAGATTTAAAACTGATGAGAAATTACTTCTCTGAAAGGGTTGTGAATTTGTGGAATTCACTACCCCAGAGTGTTATGGATGCTGGGACATTGAGTCAATTATAGGAGGGGAAAGATTTTTAAGTTAGAATTATTTTGGACAGCAGGCAGGAAAGTGAGGTCAAGATGAGATCAGCCATGATGGTATCAAACAGCAGAGCAGGCTCAAGGGGCTGAATTGACTATTCCAACTCCTAGTTCTTATGTTCTTATGTATGTAGGCCAGCCAGCAGCTATCAGGCAAAATATTACTACATTATGAAACTAGCTCTGATTAAGTGCTTACAGCCCAATCATCATCACTATAAAGCAAAATGCCATTGTTTTTATTTCAGATTTCCAGTAATAAAGTGCTCGAGAAACGCAGATCTGGCAGCATCTGTGGAAACAGTTAGCATTTTAAGTTAAATGACTTCTTCAGTACTGAAGGAAGATAGAAACATGATGGGTTATCTATTATCATAAAATGTGCAGGAGGGAAGGAAGAACACAAGGGAAAATTCGGATATGGCAGAGGGATGGAGGGATTAAGTGACAACAATGTCGTGGATCAAAAGGCAAAGTGATTGGTGATGGATGTAATAAAGAAAAAAAGCATTTTTCCTTTTACAGCTAAGAAACCTCTGTATTTCAATTTTTTTCAGTTTAGATGATGCTCCTTGCATTAGAAAAATCTCTGAATATTTCACTTGATTAAATGTGAAAAGAAAAATGGACATTAAAAGGTGAAGGTAAGTAAGAAGCCCCAGGAGGATGAATCCCACAGGTATGCATTGTGCTTTGGTTTTCATAGCAAGGTTACTTTACCTTATCTGTTGTTTTAACATTGGAATTTAATAATAACATTTATTCTTGCTTTACAGGTTTATCCAACTCTGAATAGAGAGTCACATGTGAAGGCTGGAGGTTAACAGTGGATTCATTCTCCGATTTAGATATGGTAATTTCACAATTGTTTCCAGATAATCACTTTATTCTATGTATCGTTTACTGGCTACCCTGAAGATACTCTATGCATTACCTTAATGTAGCTTGATTTAAAATCAACCATTAGATTGCAAAGCTACAAATGTCTTATCAAAAGAAGGGAGGGAGAAATCAAATAACTACAGTCCTCTCAGTTTAACATTAACTGTAGAAAATTTGGTGGAATCAGTGATGGCACTTGGACAGATATCAGAGGAACAGTCAGGATGGCTTTATGAAGCAAAGGACATGGCCTGATTTAATCTGATTGGATTTTGAGATAAGGGCACTAGCATGGCAGATAGAAGCCTATGGATGCTGTCCACGTGAATTTCCAAAAGATATTTGATAAAGGTGCTGTACAAGAGATAATGGGCAAAAAACTGGAAAGCATAGAATTGGAGCAAAATTTGAGATATGATTCCTAATTGGTTGGGAGGCAGGAGACAAAGTAGGCATTATTCTGATGAGTAGATATGACAAATGGTGCTCTCCAGGAATCTCAGCTTCTCAAATTTTGAAAAATAACATCTGGCCTTGTTTAATTTGTGTCACTTGTAAGAAGCCATCACGTTGTAATTCCCTTTACAGTATAATGTGAAAGTGGACAAGGAAAGACTAACATTATATTTTCTTTCACAGTTTCTAATTTGACAAATTCCTATGAAGCTCCCAGACTAAGGGGATAAGATTAACACCTGAGGATAGAGTTCACAGACAAAGCAAGGAGCAAATTTAACAAACCTAGAACTTGATGTTAGGAATGGGCAACCAAGTGCAACTTTAGTGCAACTCTTGGTTCAGCGCTGCTATCCTTGCTTCCAAGCCTGAATGTTTTGGGTTTGAGCCTAACCCCAGAGCCACGAGCGTATAACTGAGGCTGAGACTCCAGTGGCATGCTGTCACTGTCAGATGTTAAAGACAGTCTCATCTGCCTTCTCAAGTAGTTTTAAGAGATCCAATGGCACCAGATCCAAGTGGTGCTGGGTCTTTCTCCTGATGTCCCAAGGTACTTTTTAATATTTCAACCCACAGCAAAAAAAACCCAAAATTCTGCTTTTTATCTTGCTCCGAGCAATTTGACTGCTGCAATAGCCTACAGTACAACTCTAAACATGGCATTTGAAGTACAGGAATGCTGAGTGTGCTATCTCAATGCAAGTTTGATCTCTCTTCCAGGTACTTTTGTACTGATTCAAGTATGCATTCTATTTGATGCCAGCCATATTACAGGACCAACAGGAACAATGACTTATTTTTCATGCTATTGATGACAACTTTGCGAATCCAGCAAAGTCACATGTCAAAGACTTGCCACTCAGTTCTTTATTTTACAGTCCCACTGCTCATGCTGTAGCCAGCAGAATGGGTATACTGCCATCTATGTGTGAAATGTATGAAATGAAATATTCGGGGGCAGCTGCAAACTAGTTATTAAAAGTTCAGCAACTAAACACCAGATTACGGTTATACCCGGGATAGTAGGGTGTTTACATAGTTAACCCTTTCTCACCGAAAGGTACACCCTTACAAAATAAATCTAATACATCGTCTTGTTGTAACTCTTTCTACTTTACAGGGATATCACCTGGCAATCACAATCCCGCATCGCATCAGGAAACAACACTTTCAGAAATAAGACTAGTGTACGAATATTAACATAACATTTTACACATGTCACTTACGGACTCACCAAAAAAATCTGCGAAGTGGCAGAACAAACGAAAACTTCCCGGTAAGTACTATGGCAGAAACACTAGTGAAAATAACTCAACATGATCGACGAGGAAGATAGCAATTGCCGCACGCACTGGGTGTAACAATGAGATAGTAAGAACTGCAGATGCTGGAGTCAGAGATAACACAGTGTAGAACTGGAGGACCACAGCAGGCCAGGAACGTCAACTTTCCTGCTCCTCTGATGCTGCCTGGCCTCTTGGGTGTAACAACATTGCAAAGAACAAAACCAGATGCGGCTTGAAAGCACTGGGGGGATGCAATTGGGGAGGATCACTTACTGAAAATACTGTTGTTGTTGTTCAGTGAAACCTCCAGCACCAGGTTCCAGGAGCGGCGTGTGTTCTTCATTGCTCATTGTCCTCCTCCCCTCCTCCTACTACTACCGCACCAGATGCTGAGGGAGGAGCATGCGCTCTGGGAGACAAGGGAGATGACCCTCATGTGACCTCCCCTCCCCCACAACAACAGCCTCGTCTGCCATTTGCCGACGGAGCGGCTCCGCTTGTTCGACCGCTCGCGTTCAATCACACACAGAGCACACCACCATCTCTTTCACCTATCGACCTCCCCTCCCTTTCTTTTAGTTTCGAGAGGCCGGATTCTGTTGTTTTTACCGCTTCCCCACCGCCCCCTTGACAGGGGCGTCCCTGTATTAGATACCTCACGTCACCTCACCCCTCCCCCAAAAACACACGGGCCGGCGCGTGCGCGGGTCTTGGCAGCCGTGCGCACGCGCAAAGCTGACCCTTGCCGGGAGTTAGGGGGCGTCAGGGACACCGCCATCATTGATACAGGCTCCTTTTTTTACATATTGTTTAAAATCAATCCTTTTGATTTCCTTTTGATTTAATCGCCCTAGGCTCATCCCAAGGAGCTTCCTCCATTTCCCCACCCCACCGCGTACCGAAAAGAAGAAGCGGGATAATCCGGTTGGCTGGCCCGTGTTTATTCACGGGGACGGCGGGGTGACGCGTTATCGGAGCGACCTACGTCAGTATCCGGCTGGTCGCGCCCCTCTTGCCGTCATTTCCGACCGTCTCCCTACTTGGATTTGTCCCTTTTCCCTCCTTCACGGCTTCCCCGGTGGAATTCCGGAGGATGCAGCTTCGGAGGTAGCAGCAGTAGCAGAAGGAGGGGGGGGTCTGTGTGAAGAGTGAATGTCCCTCCGCCGGACCGGTGGCGACGGCAACTATGGTGACATTATTCAGGAGATGGTGAGTTGGGGTGGGGAGGAGGGGTGCGATGGTCAGGGCCCGCTGGGCCTGGCGCTGTCCATTTACTGTTTTAAAGTTGTGCCAGTGTCGATGGCCGAAAGGTGTGGGCTCCTGCTTTATACTGACGGCCGCCTCCAGCCCGATGGCATCACTCGAATCGGATGTTCTCCTGCTTGACTTCCACTTCATTTAATTTCCCCTGGTTTAATGAGCCAGTGCAGGCACGACCGGCCGAGTGGCCGCCTCTGTCATTCACCTATTTGTACAGATTCAGCGCTGCCCTCCATTTCGCAGCCAGTGAAATCATGATGCTGTGCTTATGGTTGTGAATAGAGTACAGCCTTCATTTCAGTTCAGATTTCTATCTCGTAACTCAATTTAACTTCGGCTGGTGTGCTCCTTTCTTGGTATGTATGGGTACACAGTGCAAATCTGGCCAGTCATTTGTTACTCGTTTGGCCTGTCTGTTCTGACCTTTTTGCGCTTGATAGTAGAGCGGACTTAGAGGATGGGAGGGAAAAATAAATTGGAGGGAAATCGACATACACAGTAGACAAAGTCTGAAGAGGAGAAAGATGTGCAGGTTAGGTGGATTGGCCATGTTAAATTGCCTGTAGTGTTCAGGGATGCATAGCTTAGGTGGGTTATAGGGGGATGGGTCTGGGTGAGATGCTCCAAGGGTCAGTGTGGACTTGTTGGGCCGAAGGTCCTGTTTCCACACTGTAGGGATTCTATGATCTACGTGCAGGAAGACAAGTTTGTAAGATTCAGATCTGAGGTCAGGCTTGGGTAAAGTATGTTGATTCTGAAATGCTGATGATCAGGAAGATGCTGCGTATTAGCCAAGATGGGGGTATTAGATGAGAGCGTTCTGTATGATTTAAGTAGTGCATTTAATAGCAGAGGTGAGAAGTAGACTTGGTGATGGGCTAGGATATTCTGTTTGGGTTAGATATCTAGCCATAATCTGTCCACGGAAGGAGCAGTGGAAGAGGGGTGCAAAGTTGAACTGCTTGGCTTTAAAGCTGAGTATTTTTGAGCTGAAGAAAGTTCCGACTTGCTTGAGCCCAAATGTCTGACAGTCAGTTGGTACTGTGATGATTATGGAGGAGGATTTTCTTGAAATCCTGATTATAGCAAGTTGGGCCAAATCAAGTTTCTCCCTCACTTGGTCTTGTATGTTGTGCAACTTTGTATTGGAGTGTCTAACATAGAAAAAGTGGTTCCATTCTTTGCACTTGTTTTAAAGGACATGATTTCTTTGCCTCAAAAAAATCTTTACTTGTTTAAAGAGGACTTGCTTCAAGTTGTCACAACACCATTTTCTAGTACAGTGCCCTCTTCCTTTTAATCACTAAGTAGGGAGACATATTTTCAAAGCACTTTGTTACATGTTCATCAGGACAAAATGTAGAATGCCAAATTTCAAATGATCGTTACAATTTATACTGCAGGAATCAAAAGTACTCATTGGAATCACTCCACTTGTGCTCAAATTTAATTTTGAGTTGGAGTGGTTGAAAATCTGCAGATGAGTTCTCCACTCTGCTAATAAGTTCATGGGGTGGTGATGGCCTAGTGCTATTATCACTAGACTATTAATCCAGAGACTTAGGTAATGTACTCCCACGGTAGATGGTGGAATTTGAAAAATTTGAATTCAGTTTAAAAAAAAAAGTCTAGAATTAGGAGTCTAATGATGACCATGAATCCTTTATCAATTATTGGAAAACCATCTGGTTTACTGATGTCCTTTAGGGAAGGAAACATGTGACTCCAGACCCACAGCAATATGGTTGACTCTTTAACTGCCCTGTGGGCAATTAGGGATGAGCAATAAATGCAAGACAGTGATGCCGTCTTCCCATGATTCAATTTTTAAAAAATCGCCTGTTAGGATTTGTATGACTTTATGCACCTAACATTGATCAGCAAAGATGTAAGTAGGGCTCTCAACATTTCCTCAACTTGTAAGCCTGATGCACACACAGGTCACTGGCTGTCCAGGTCAGATAATTGTTTGCTGTGCACCTTGCAAATGCAGAAACTTTCAAATCTGAAAATTGTAAGCTGTGTGACAGTTATTACAAATGTAATAACTAAGTAATTGCCAACAGAATGCTGATGTCAGTCCAAAAATTAGCCTGCAACATATTTCTGCAGCAGTGTATGAATTTCAGTGTTGGTATGATACTATTTATATGAGCCACATGTCGTAATGTTTGTTCAATCAAATCAAAGAGCATGTTTCTTCAATTATTTGTTGTAGGCAGAGCACAGGTTGTACACTCCAAAGCGCTTGTAGTCTCCAAAGTAGCATGTCTGCCATTAGATGCTATTCTGATATTGAGCAATACTTGCTGAACAACACCGAGTGCAGTTACAGCTATACTTACAACCAATTTAAGATGATGAGTTGAACTCATAATGTGACTCAGTTACGCTTGCTAGACAAAGTTTTCTGTATGCAAAAGTAACTTATTCAAACCTTGCGCGTTTTTAAAAATTTTTTCGGCAGCTTGATTCCTCATTTCTTTCTCCATGGCAATGCTTTGACAAACCAGAATTGACTTGTCAATTGCTTAGCACTCTTTTTTTTCCTCCTGCAGAATAAATTGTTGTGATAGTTGGAGATTTGGCATTCTTGTCTTTTTTTGTCCTGATGAGTGCAAGAAATGTTTGACAACATACTTCTCATCAATTATCACATTCTGTGCTACTTCTTTATTGATCATATAGTGGCAGCCATGACTCGAGTTGATAGCACTCTAGCCTCCGAGTCTCACAATTTCAGGTTTGAGTCCATCTCAAGGGCTTGATCCCGAAAATCAAAGCTAATGCAGTACTGGAGGAGTACTATTTTGTTGCAAGAGCTAAAGCAGAGGGCTTGTCTTTCCCCTCTGGTAGATACAAGACATCCCAAAATGCTATTTCAGTGAAGACCAGGCGGTTTTCCCAGTGTTAACACAGTGTGGAGCTGGAGGAGCACAGCAGGCCAGGCAGCATCAGAGGAGCAGGAAAGTTGACGTTTTGGGTTGGGGCCCTTGACCCAAATCATCAACTTCCCCGCTCCTCTGCTGCCTGGCATGCTGTGTTCCTCCAACTCCACGCTGTGTTATCTCTTACTCCAGCATCAACAGTTCTTGCTATCTCTGGGTTAGCTCAGTGTGTTGGCCAATGTTAATGCCCAAATCAACATTACAAAAACATTATCTGGTTGGTGTTCATGGAATGTTGCTGTGTGCAAATCAGCTCCCATATTTCCTACATTACAGAAATGACTCCACTTTGAAGGTGCTTCCTTGGCTGTAAAGTGCATTGGGACATCTTGTGCCCATGTAATACATTATAAAAATGCAGTTCTTTTCATCTTGGGATTTACTGTAAGTTACCCTATGTGACCATGGTTGTCACTTTCTAACACTGTACAGGGAGCCTCGTTCACTTGTAAAACATAAATGGTTAAGAAATGCTATGCATTAATTTATGTGATTAAAAATGGTGCCCGTGGATTGCTGATATGTGTGAAACTACTCCCGGCAGCATTGATGTTGAAAAACAATCCCTCTGTTTAGCTTGTTGAACTACAGACTGATTCTCTCCCTGTTGCTATGGTTAGGTTTTATGTTATCACATTAGTCTGAATATTTTCAATTGTTATACTATTTAGCACTCATTGTTGTTTTCAGCTTACTCAGTATACAGTATATACTGCTATCAGGGAGTGTTTGTAATCTGTTTTCACTTCAAAGATGAAAATTTTGTAGATGATGACACTTCTGGGAGGGAATGCTCTTCCTGTTACTGTTTAAAAGGAATTGGTTTAAGAATTAAATCAGGGTTGAAATAATATTCTTCTTTTGGCTCAGTATATTGTAAATCCTGATCTGTTACTGCTTTGGTTTTGGATGAAACCTCTCAATGTCATCTTTCCTAACACATTGGGGTTATTGCCTGTTTCCTTTTATTTACCTGGACTTAGCTATCTTCCAGCAGAGTGTGTGTCTCCTTTTTCTTCATCTTGGAAACACAGGCATTCTTAGTTTTGCAGACAGAAGATAATTAATTGTAAAGATAAATGGATCACCTTCTACTTTGTCTCATAATTTGAAGCAGCGATGACTAAGTTGCTGCTCAGAACGTTTTGTATGGCCACCAGGCCAGTCCATTGACTGGAGTTTTGAATAATGCTGCGGGTTTATAGTTGCTTTAGTTATGACATAGTTAAACTAATGCCTGTTCTGTTTAATAGGAAGTTGATCCAACCCTGTGTAAACTTTGCATAGAGCAGTGACCTTGAGACTAGATTCCCAGTAGCATTCTACCTAGTGAGAACACAAGATCCTGTCTCTTTCCCTCTGGAATGAGGGAGACATTTCAGTCTTTATCCTGTGAAAATGCTGTGTTCCTGCATTGCTGACTTAGACACCTGGAATGTTTATATTGTCGTTACCTTTTTTTCCTGTTAATAGCTTGATAAGAGAAGGAGCATACACAAGCCGCTGTGATTTAATGGTTCGGAGCATCTTAGCAGTGAAATGAATTAAAGGCTACAGCCACCACCATTACTAGCACACGTTGGATGCAGTATAAATCAAAATGATCTAGACACAGTCCAAATCTAGAAGGGGAAAAAAAATTGAGTGCGCTGTGAGAAACATACATTTCAAGTGGACGTAGTATAAAAAATTGCTATGCATGTAATTTAACCAGAACTCCATGAGATGTAAATACAGTAGTTGTGACAAGATTTCACAATGCTGTACTTCATTGAAATTGTAACACAAGCCTACATGTCAGATCAGAAATAGGAAATACTGGGCAGGATCTTGGGAGACAAAGTCTGTCACCTTTTCAAGCTTTATGGATTGTATGGCCAAAAGTATCGACTGACTCCTGTGATTTTTGATATAAATGTTGTCTGACCAGCTGAGTGTTTTCAATTGTTTTCAGATTTCTAGCATCTTGAGTATTTTGTTTATTTCTTTACATCATACACAGCTGCAGTTTCTGCTTGACTTCACTGTTGCAAAGAACATACTTGCAGTTTCAGTCTTGGCCTGGGTTGCCCAGTCTCAATCTGCCCGAGTGAATGCAGTGTCTACTGATATTATGCTTCATGGTGAGAGCTTTGCATTTAGTCCATGGTCAGTCAATTGTGCTTAATTCTAAATTTTGGCGATCTGTGATTCATGCATCATTGAGCATGAGCATAAAGCAGCATTTATCTGTCTCTAAAGGTACCAACATGAAGAGCTGAGAACAGGTAGCATTACTGTTCAATAGAGTAAAATCTAAAGGTTTAATTTCTTTTATATATTGAATTTTGTAAAGTTTTGTTTTAATACTGTACTGTATTTTTAATGACTAATAACCATGATAAAGTAGTGGACACGAAGAAACTGAGTTGCCTGTGTCAACTTAAGTATATTTGTACTATATGGCTTCCTTTCATCCCCAAAGCACTCTGAATTATTTGTGAAATCTGTTTTCTATTTAAGCATGCCACTGAATTGATGCACGGCTAAGTTCCAGAAGTAGAATATCAGCTGAGTAAACAAGTATATTGACGGTTGGTTCAGTGAAAAATGTTGACCAAAGCACTGGGAGATTTCCTGAAATGGTCTTGACTTAACATCTCATCTGAAAGACATTGTGTATGGCAGTGTGACCTTATTTCAGTGATACAGTGCTTATATTATGTGTTCAAGCTTTGGAATGTGATTTGAACTACTGACCTGCTGACACAGAGGTTAGTGTGCAGTCAGCTGAAGTAAAATGAAAGCTGGTAGAGGTAGAAGTAGTATAAATGTTAAACCAGTAAAATGTCGATAGATGAAGATAATCTGTCATCTACAGTCTCTTGTGTGCAGAAGACAAGAAATTCATTTGAAATAAACTGCTCGATAAACATAATTGGATGATTTTGGATGCATTATTTCTGCATGAAACCAGGATGTTGGTGGGTTGTAAAAGGAATTTAATTTCCTCCCACCACTTAGCAATGCTGTCGGATCTCTGGCAAAGAAATTTCCTGGACACCTGGAAGTTCCGTCAGTGGGGGGGGGGGGGGGGGGGGGGGGGGGGGGGGGTGCTTGTGAATAAATGGAAAATGGAGTTGCCAGATGTCGTACCAGTGTGATTTACTTAGCCCATTTTCTAACTAATTTCCTTGCCTGTTCTCACCCAGAAACCAGTGTCTTTCACATTCTGACACTGTCATTTGAAATGCTATTCAAAGCAATGCTCAGTTGCTTGCAGATAAACGTGTATGGAGCTTTGAATTGAATTCAGGATATATCTGAATCCAAGGTACTTTAACACCTACACATCATCTTGTGTGGACTGTCTCATGCTGTCGTTACGTTCTTGAATCACAATGAGTGGCACTTAATGACTGTTCAGCTGATGTGTTGACAGGCAGCATATCCTACACTGCCTTGATGCCTTTCTGTTCTATCATTTCTACATCTGTTTTCTTCCGTGTAGCACATTAAAGGCAGGCTTGTCGGTGCTGAGAGCTATACCCTGCATGTGTGGTCTGTGATATCTCCTAAGAATCCAACGTCCACAACAGAAGCTCATAATCAGATCTTTGGATCAACCAATGTCCTCATCAATCATCAGAGTTCCTCAAACAATGATTCCGATGTGTGCATGGGTCCAGTGGCTTGTCTCAATGCTGCCCAGTAGTAATACACCTCTTTCTTTTGTACTGTGCTGTATGCTGCATGACTTTGAAGATATTCTTGTGTTGAAACGCTTCCCCCATTGTAGGGGTCTTGAGCAGGAAAAGAAGGACAATGCAGTAACACAGAGAATTGTGAGGAAGCAGAGCAATTGCATGTTTGAAGGCAGCTCATGAGAGAGACCTTCAGCTGAGGAATCTGCGCTACCCTGCATTAACAGTCATGTCCAATATATGTACCAATCCTTTCAACATCTACCTAAATTCTAAAATTATTATTCACGTGGAAGGTTAACAGCGACTACAGAAACATCCTTGCCATGCCAAATTAGAATTTTGTTGGGATTTTCCTGGCTTGTGTATTATTTGTTATCCCCATGTGAGTGCCTAATGCTTCAATAATTCCTGAGATTGTTGAGTTGCTCACCAAGCTAGCTTGTTTTTGTTGCTTTCGTCACCATGCTAGGTAACATCAGTGAGGCCTCCGATGAAGCGATGTTGTTCTACTTGGAATTTATGCTGTCCGGCCTGTTCCAAGTGGAGTAGAACAACGTTGCTTCATTGGAGGCCTCACTGATGATGTTACCTGGCATGGTGATGAAACGTCTGAATGAAAACAAGCCAGCTCAGTGAGCAAGTCAATAACCTCACCCACAACCTGAGCCACAAATCTTTGCAAAAACCTTTAAACTTAATAATTCCTGTTTATTGCTCCAATTCGTGAGCAGAGGTAGGTTACTGTGGCTCGGGGACTTGTATGGTGTTGATGTTTAGTGAACTCTAGGTGCAGTTGACTTGCGGAACTTTAATTTTCCATGTATAGAACCAGCATGCTAACTAGCTTTCTGGCACAAGGTTTGCAAAGGTATGCAAACATTATCATGACATGGAATTGTTTTTCATTTTGATTGCCTAAGCTGATACTGCTACTGATTTACGGAACAGTAGATGAGAAGCTCAGTGATCTGAGTCAAACAGCTGTTCATATGATTTTTAAAACTTTCCAAGGTGTGAAAATAGATGAAAGTCAGAGCTTGCATATCTCTCGTGTCCCGTGATATGCTGATACTGCTATAGGAATGCTTTGTGTAATGGACTTCAAGGTATTAACAGGCTTCATGGTTTGAATGCAGAACATCTGTGACAGGGGAGATTGCTGTCATGCTATCTGACTTGTTTTTGCCAGCTCCAGAGCAGTTTCTTCAGTAAATGGCTGGAACGTGGAGATCTATTTTGAAATCATGACATCCTGAAGCTTGGGTCCGTATTGTCTTCAGTAGTGCCAGGATATGAGCTGGTCCTCTGGTTAGCTCGCTCTTCGGCTCTCCTTGTCAGGTCCACCTGATCTAGCTGTGTTTGTGTTTGAGATGCTGACAGCACTGTTGTCAGTATCCTGACAAACTGAGCAGAGCACAGGCAAAGGACAAGAGAAGGTAATTTCCATGATAAGCATTTCTCAGTTCATTGCCAGCACTATGCCACACTAGCTTCTGTTGAGCAGAAGAGTGTATGATTGAAGGGATTAAGCAGAATGACACCTGACACACACAACATTGTTTCCAAAGATTGCTGGGGCTTCTCAGTATGTCCATGTGGCCCCTTTCATTGGGCTGAGTGTTTATGGAGCTATGGCACCTTACTCCAGCTGTGCGCAGTCTTCTCCTTTACAAAGACCAGAAGTGAAAATAGGCTTTCAACCCAGAGCCCAACAGTGTGCCTAAAATGAGAGGTATTGGAAATGGTCATAGGGAGATATTGAGGGTGAAGATGCATGAAGGCTTCACGTTTTCCCCCCTTGATTGATTTAGCCATAAAGTTGGAAAGGGTCTTCAATTGTGTGGACATGATAGAGCATAAGGAGTGTAATGTTAGCGTAAGTCTTACTTGTAAACTAGTCACGCCATGAAAGAAAATTCTGCATGCATTTCCAAGTGGGTTATTGCCTTGCTCTAGAGAGAAGACTGCTCTGACCTCTGACAAACCTATTGTGCAATATTCCACTGCTGTCAGAAAATTTTGGAGCCCTGCTCTTGTTAACCTCTGGCATTTTCCTGCAACTCCACAACATTACTCCTTTATTTTGTCACAAAAATGCTTCTCTTTAAACTGCTAATAGCCACTTTCAGCAGGGACCAACTTCTTGATATTATTTGCCTATTCTCAGCAGATAAACAAAGAAGATTGGACATGAGTTTGAATTTGCTAGTTGTTTTGAAACTATTTGCTGCATTATAGATGAAAGGAAAATTGTAATTCCAGAGACACACAACTTTTTAATTAAGTAGCTTTAGTGTAACAGGAAGAGTGGGAAATCCAAGTGCTTTACTTTTTAATAACGACGTACTCATGTATTACATTGTGTGACCACAAAGCACTTCACAGCCAATTAAGCACTTCTGAAGAGTGGGACTTTGTAGGTAGATAAGCAAAGCACCTGAGAACACTGATCTGCTGATGGTCTAAATGCAGAGGCACTTGTTTAAACTGTTCAGTGTCATCAGAAATTGAGTTTTTTAAAACAATGCTTTCATATAAACTTGTATAATCTACACTGTACTAGGCGTTGTTCATAATTAAAACAGTCGCCTCCAATGTGCTTTCAAGAAATTGGAGCAGAATTTGCAATGGCAAATGACATAGACATTGAAATACCAGCTGCACAGAAGTAAGTGACAAGAAAATTGGTTATAGTAAGCCCTTCTCAAAAGAAGCAAAAATTGCAGTTCCATAAAATTTGCTTTTTTTTTCTACGACGAAGCTCTGCCTGTGCAAATATACTCACTGCAGTTCATAAGGCAGCATGGAGTGTGATTGTTTCCTTTCAACCCCTTCCCACAAAATGTTTTGGCTGATGTTTTAATCTGTTCTACGTGTAGTTAACTACAGACGTAATATGCTGTCTTATGTTTCACAGGTATATTGTCACATGGCCATATGGAGAGAAAGGACTTTAATGCATGGCTTGATACCCTCTCCAGCACATTTATCACTCTGACCGAGAACCAGAAAAATGAGACCCTAGACCACCTGATCAGCTTAAGTGGGGCTGTCCAATTGAGACACCTCTCTAACAATCTGGAGACACTTCTGAAACGGGATTTCCTCAAATTGCTTCCGTTGGAGCTTAGTTTTTACCTGTTGAAGTGGCTTGACCCATCAACCCTACTTATTTGCTGCCTAGTCTGCAAGCAGTGGAACAAGGTGATAAGTGCCTGTACTGAAGTGTGGCAGGAAGCCTGTCGAAGCTTAGGCTGGCAGATCGATGATACAATTCAGGACACTCTGCACTGGAAGAAGATTTATCTGAAGGCAGTTAGAAGGATAAAACAGCTACAGGACAAAGAAGCCTTTGAGACCTCTTCTTTAATTGGCCACAGTGCTAGAGTGTATGCTCTTTATTATAAAGATGGATTGTTGTGCACAGGTCAGTATAACAAATGACGACTGTTCCAAGAATGTTTGGAAATAAAAATGCATGCAAGATATGATTTGTGAAATGTTTATCTGTGCTAATTATTGGATTTTTACAAAATAGCACCCATAAAATAGAGTGAATTGTTAGCCAGAATTTATTGGCAGTGTCAAGATAATGCTTTTTTTGTTGTTGTTGTGTTTTGCTTTTCCTCCTAAGTTATTTTCCCCACATGGGGGCAAACCTATTGGGGCTGAAATCCTCTCTATGTTCTGTTGCCCAGTTGGCTTTAGATTGTTAGGAAGGCGGCGCCTAACCTTTTTTTGTTTATTCTTTATTTCACTTACTTTCTTCCAGTCAGCACAGATACGGTTTGCTCTGACTAACAGCCTGGTTCTGTATTCGAATCACGACTGACCTAGGGAGTCACGTAGCTTTTAATGAGATTCAGAAATCTTTGTGTCATCAATCTGCCGGTGTCAGTTGTAACTGGTTGTGGTTGTCATCAATCTTTCTGGGTATTTGCTACAATCCTCTCTAGACAAAGATTGTCTGTAAATAGTATCAAATGTCATGTTATCATTCTGGAGATGGAAATCAATGAGAGTTAAGGTCTCTGTTTAGAATTCTGCAGGAGTAATGACCTCGTTAGTATACAGTACCTATTGTAACTTGATTGTTACTAAAAATAAGCTGAATCTGTTTATATCTGCTTGTTACTACCTCATTTGCCAGTGCGCTGCTTTCAAGAGTACATTTCAGTCTGGTGCCTGTTCCACTTGCCATTGATGCTAGCATATAAAATGTCTCATCTTGCATATTGTTTGATTAATCATCTCTTGGCTCAATAGTCAATTGAGGAGATACAATGTTCCCTTCTACACAAACAGAAACTGAATCCACAGTACTGACCGAAGCACTAAAGTTGACATCACAACCCAGAACTTTTCTAATCAAGCATGGGGGCTTTTATTTCTCTTGAAAATAATTTTGTAATTTCAGTTATCGTAGATAAAGTACACCTATTATTTTTGTTGAGGCTCCACCTTTTACTTTGCCTTGACAAATTGAGCCCAGGTTCATGGATATGCTGAGCACTTGGATCTCTGAGGATCGGGGTAATAGGTAACAAGTGACCCAAATTATATTAGAGTACAATTGCTTGAGGTCCACTTAGAAACTAACTTTTGATATACTGATAAAAGGAATTACTGCAGTTTAAAGTTTGTAATAATATCCACTTGCATTATATGCAATGATGCTTTTGTGCATGTCGTCCTTTCTCGACTGCTTATTCTACATAGCTTTAGAAAATTTGTAGTATTTACTAAAAACTAAGTAAATCAAAACAATTTCAGTTTTTGTCATTTGGATTTGGAAGTACCACTGACAGGTGCTTTTGGTTAGAGGTCCTGTCTCAATGCTTAAGTGCTTTTAGGTAAAGTTACACGATGGAGAGGGCTTAGAGGGTTTTCTCAACATTGCTAACTTAGTTGAGCTAAATCTAATGTTTGCTGCAACAATAATTGAGGTTTGAGTGTCTCCAGGTAAGAGAAACCGGTCATTTAAGAATGATCAGGTCTTGTTTTGCAGACATTGGAAGTATGGGGAATTATCTGTTTGTACTACAAATTTGACGTCATTTTTATTGTGAAATCGTTCAACACATTTGCTGAAAAGATTAGTGAATTTATTATTTTTTTTGAACTGCAGGCTCTGATGATCTATCTGCCAAACTCTGGGATGTTTGTACTGGTCAGTGTATATATGGAATCCAGACTCACACGTGCGCTACAGTAAAGTTTGATGAGCAGAAACTAGTTACTGGATCGTTTGATAACACGATAGCCTGTTGGGACTGGAGCTCAGGAGCTAAAACCCAGAACTTCAGAGGTCATACAGGGGCAGGTAGTGAACAGTGCCATACCTTTGTAAATAATTTGATCAACGATTCTGCTATAGACCTTTACAGTAGTGATGTAGAGGTGCTGGTGTTAGACGTGGGTGGACAAAGTCAGAAATCGCACAACATTAGGCTATAGTCCCACAGGGGGTTTATTTGAAATCACAAGCTTTCGGAGTCACCTGATGAAGGAGCAGTGCTCGAAAAACCTGTGATTTCAGATAAACCTGTTGGGCTATAACCTGATGTCTTGTGACTGCTGTACTTTGTCCTTTTACAGTAAAATTGTGGGTAAATTAGAAATGGCTGTTAAATTTGGGGTGTTGCAACCCTTTGCCTGAAGTCCTAAGATCTCTAATTTAGCAGGCCCAAATTTTCTCCAATAAAAGAAACCCTGTAAAGCTATAATGTGGTGTATGGGGATTTTTTTTTTCATCATGCAGCTCCAATATATTGGGTATGATATTTTGTTACTACTCACTTCTTGTGGGAAGTGTTTTTTTCCACCCCCTAGCTGGCATCTGTAAATATTCTAAATCCTAAGCGCAATTCCTTCTATCAGTTACACAGGGAATACCTTAACTAATGCGTTCATCATTTCTTGCTTTTTGGTGAGCAGGTGGGCGTTGTAATTCGGCATTTATTCACAACTTAAGAGCCTTTGCTTTGTTCATCTTGTGTTTTTTCTCCCCCAAAATATCTTCCATCGTGGATTTGAAGCTCCAAAGTGCCACTGAGAATATTAAATTGATGTATGTAATGTCATATATCACCTAGTCTGCTTGAACATTGAATTTGAAAGCATGGTGCAACAATTTACTAGTTTTGATTTTTTTTTTTTCCTCCCTTGTCTAGTGAAGCCTTTCTTCAGCTACTTAGCTTTATTTGCATCCTTGCTTCAATGCCACAGTCTCTATGCTGCTACCAAGCTGCCGCAGTGACTAGAAAGCTACTTGCCTAATTGGGACATATCCATTTCTGGGTATCATTGTTGAAATTAACACTGAAATTAAAACTAGTCCCAGTACAAAATAAAGTCAGTGAGTGATACACATCAGTGCTTCTGAAACTACTACTTCCCCCACTGTGACTCCATTTAGAACCTTGAAAATTGTTTCTGCTGTTACTATCCCTCAGTGAATCATTGTTTGGGATGGAATTGGAGAAGACCTAATGAGAATGGGGGTGGGGGCAAGGGACTTAGGGAAGCCCTGGTGTACACATTGGATTATTTTCTGGCATAAATAGTGATTCGAAAGATCATCTCTCTTTCTTGATCTGACCGGGCCCTTCCCTTCCCTTCCCTAGACCCTGGTAACCTCAACTATCTTAAACAAAATGTCACCTTGACAGCATAGTTAGTTAGAACAGAGAGAAATATAATGGAAAGCACAAGTCATTTTATCCATACATTTAAACAAATGTTGTTTTTGCTTGCTGACTCACGATATTAAACTGCTTTGTTTCTAATATCAAAACAATTTTCTGTTCAGTTTTCAGTGTCGATTATAGTGACGAGCTAGATATCCTGGTCAGTGGGTCTGCAGATTTCACTGTGAAAGTCTGGTCATTGTCAACAGGAATCTGCCTGAATACACTTACTGAGCACACTGAATGGGTGACTAAGGTACTGCTATTGTGCCACATTTCAGTTCTAATGCTGCTTGTTTGTTCTGTTTAATTAAATTTAAGCTGTTCCTATGAGGACGGACCTAACTCGGTGCTTTACCACATGCTATGGGTTTTGATAATTTTTAATATTCTGGTTTGGTAGTGGAAATGGATTATTTTCTACCACAGGTATTCAATGTCCAGAACCTTCCTGAGTCTACTCCAATCCAGATGCCTTGTAAAGCTTTTTTTATGATGACACAGAAATGCCCCTGGGAAGAGGGCTTTACTGGTGTAAATTTTCCATTTTTCATCTGAGAGTGCCTTTAACTGAGCTTGTTGGCTTGCAGACCAGGCATTGATTTGGAGCTGCCAAATTTGAGATGGGGTTGGTTTGAAAACTGAAACCCAAAGCAAAAGGACAGACCATTTATTTTTCCATGCTCTCATTTTCTCTAGTTATGTACTTGGTGGTTGTCATCAACTCCAGCTTGTGGTATCTAGATCAAAATAAATCACTTCATTGAAAATAGACCTGTCAAATGCAAACTACATGCTTTGTGCTGTCTCAGTACTTGACACTAAGATTTCTGTTCTCCAACTGTTAAAAAATCTTGTTTAACCTGAGACTTCAGAGCAGTTCTAGTCATTCAACACATTAAGTGCACAGAAGAGGCTCTTCAACCTATTGAGTCTGAGCGAATCTAACTGCATTAATCCCACTTTCCAGCATTTGACTCATAATCTTAAATATTATGACATTTCAACTGCTCATTTGTGTACCTTTTTAAAGGTTGTGAGGTTTCCCATCTTTACCCTGTCAAGCAGACCATTCCAGATTCCCATCAACCCCATGTGAGGAGAAAGAAGTTTTCCTCCAAACCCATCTCAACCTCCTGCCTTTCACCTTAAAATTATGTTCCCTTGTTAAAGAAGCTTCAACTCTTAGTTGTCAACAGGAATCTGCCTGAATACACTTACTGAGCACACTGAATGGGTGACTAAGGTACTGCTATTGTGCCACATTTCAGTTCTAATGCTGCTTGTTTGTTCTGTTTAATTAAATTTAAGCTGTTCCTATGAGGACGGACCTAACTGCTGCTTCCCATCCACCATGTCCAGGCCCCTCAAGGTCTTGTGCATTTCAATCTCCCCTCAGCCTTCTTTGCTCTAAAGAAAACAATCCGAGTCTTGTCCCCGCCTCCCTAACCTGTCCTTCCTCCCACCTATCCCCTCCT